ATTTACAATAGCCAAGATTAGGGAGCAGCCTCAGTGCCCATCAGTAGATGAGTGGATAAAAAAGCTGTGGTACATTTACACAATGGAATACTATTCAGCCATAAAAAAGGTCTTACCTTTTGCAACAGCATGGATAGACCTGGAGAGTATTATGTATGCTCAATGAAATAAGTCAGTCAGAGAAAAGCAAGTACCCTATAATTTCACTTATATGTGGAATCTAAGGAACAAAATAAACTAACAAAGTAGAGACAGACTCATGGATACAGAGAACAGTCTGACAGCTGTCAGACGGTAGGGGGTCGAGGGTTGAATGAGAAGGGTGAAGGGATTAAGCAAAGAAAAAAAAAAGAAAGACTCATGGACACAGTACAGTGACTGATTGCCAGAAGGAAGGCGGGGTGGGGGCAGGTGGAAGAGAACAAAGTGGGGATAAATGGTGATAGAAGAAGACTTGACTTGGGGTGGTAAGCACTCAATACAATATACATACAGATGATGTATTATAGAATTGTATAGCTGAAACCTGTAAAATTTTATTAACCAATGTCACCCCAATAAATCAATTTTAAAAATATTAATGCTTACATCAAATATCAACCTAAAACAAAACTTTTAAAATATATTTTTCTATATAAAGTTCTGTTAACTAGATACATCAGTTTCACAAGGATGTAGGACTTCCGTTTCCTGCTTAGGCACAGAACTTCAGCCCTTCATCACATGGTGGTGATGTAACTGCTACTGCCTCACATTTGGTTTTCCTGACCTACTTTCTCTTCCTTCCTGTCTATCACTCACCTTACCTAAAAAGCAACCTCCCTAAAACAATACTTTCCCCAAATCCATTCAACAAAAACCTACCAGGGATCAGAATTCTAATCCTCCGCTTTCTAACAGGTGTGCCAAAAACGGGCAACAAATTTTGATGTTCCCATTCAGCCCTCTGTGGTCAGAATTGCCACACCCTTCAGAGCCTCCAGGCCACTAGAGCAGCCTCATCAGTTTACCCTGAAACATCATGAAATGCAGGGGTTAACAAAAGTAGGCTTACAGTTGTGTTATGCAAAACACAGTTTATTCCTGTATAATTATTTATTAACTAGAGGGGCCTGGTGCCCAGATTTGTGCACCAGTGGGGTCCCTCGGTGTGGCCTGCAGCGATCAGGCCAAAACCGGCAATCCAACACTGCCTGCTGCTCCTGCCTGCCACTCCCACTCATCCCAGCCCCACTGTGCCTGCCACAGGCTCACACCCAGTCAGTCCCATTCAGGAGAGGCTCGCCTCTCTGCAGCGATGCTCACCAGCCATGAGCCCTGCGTCTGGAGCCCGTGGGTCAGCTGAGCAGTGCTCCCGCTGTGGGAGCACACAAACCACCAGGGGGAAGCTCTTGCATTGAACGTCTGCCCCCTGGTGGTCAGTGCGGAACATAGTGACTAGTCAACCAGTTGTTTGGTTGCTTAGGCTTTTATATAGACTAGAGGCCCGGTGCACGAAATTCATGCACAGGTGCAATCCCTAGGCCTGGCAGACGATCGAAGTATGGTGATTCCACTGCTGTCCACTGCCAGCGCCACGTCACCGAAGCCCGCCATGTTTTGCACCGCCCCCTGGTGGTCAGTGCACATCATAGCAAGCGGTCGAACTCCCAGTCGAACTCCTGGTCAAGGGAACAATTTGCATATTAGGCTTTTATTATATGGGATTATTGTATTATAACTGTAAGCCTATTTTTGACCACCCCCATATGTTGGGAAGTGCTTTCATTTCTCATGTCCTTCTAACATAAACTGGAAAAATTAATGGAAGTGTTTTGGTCATACTTTATTCACAGCACAAGAATCACTTCTACTCATATGTATAAGGTTATTCACTGATGTACCATATGTAATAACAAAACACTAGAAGCAATTCAATTGGTAAAAGTATATTGCTACATTAATTTTGGTATATTCAGCCATGACATGCGATGCCCCATGAAAATGAGAAAGCTAATATAGAGAAGGCTCTCCAAGACACAGTCATTGAAAAAAAGCACAAAGTACAGAAGTATGTGTTATTATTAGTCTAAAATGAGGGGGATGTATGTGCATATTTGTTTGTATATGCATGTGCTATGGTCTGAATGTTTATGTCCCCCGAAAATTCATATATTGAAATCCTAACCGCCAAAGGTGCAAGTATATGGTATTAGTAGGTGGGCCTTTGAGGGTGATTAGGTCATGAGGTGGAATCCTCATGAATGGGATTAGTGCCTTTTATTATTAGAAAGGCCCCAGAAAGCTTGTTGGCTCCCTCCACTGTGAGGACAGAGAGAATGTGCAGGCTGTGAACTAGAAGAGGGCCATCGCCCAACCATGCTGGCGCTGAGAGCTCAGACTTCCTGCTCCAGAACCCTGAGCAACAAATTCTTGCTATAAGCTACCTAGTCGGTGGTATTTTGTTCAAGTAGCTCTCATGGACTAAAACAACATGAAGCATCCCTTAAGTCTACCAGACCTGAGGCCCTGAACCTTCGCTTTCCTGTTGAAGTGCTTGGTTCATCAGCCGCTCGTTTCATTGTGAATTTTCAGAATTTTTTCACGTCAAACCACACAAAGTCAATTCAAACACATGGGGGCAGACATTTGCAATGGCTAACCATGAGGTTTGACTACGATTGGTTGGTTATTTTTAGTTTGTGACGCATTTTTTTCAAGTACTAGGCAAAGTACCGAAAATTAGGTACAGCGGTCTGGTAGGGTTAAAACAGTGGTTCGCAATCCTGGCTGCACATTAGAATCACCTGGGAAATTTTTTTTAAATCCTGATTTCTGGGCCTCATCCTCCAGAAATTGTTTCTTTGTTATGGGGTAGGGCAACAACATTAGTAACAAAGAAACAGAATTTCCGGAGGATGAGGCCCAGATATCAAGATTTTAAAAAGATTCCCAGGTGATTCTAATGTGCAGCCGAGGTTGAGAACCACTGCCTTAAAAGGACAGCTAAGAAAAGTGATAACATCTCTTGCCTCTGGGGTAGAGAACTAAGCACGTGGGAGGACCGAAGAAGGAGACTCCCAGTTTTACAACCTTTGAATCTTTGAATTTTGATCCAGAAGAATGCATTACTTTTCATACAAAAATAAATAAAATTATAATTTATTAAATTCCCTCTGCAGACACCATGGCTCTTCCATCTCTTCCTATCATCTGCCAATGCTAGGGCGGGCTCCAGCCCACAGGACAGGCCCCTGTGACCAGCACTTTCCTTCAGGCTGGCTGGTATCCCACTGGTCCACACCCACACACAGAACTGTGTCACGCCTCAATGCCTTGGTCCATGCTCTTTTCAAAAATGTCAGGATTCTGACCTAGCCGGTTTGGCTCAGTAGACAGAGTGTCAACCAGTGATCTGAAGGGTCACAGACTGGATTCCAGTCAAGGGCGCGTACCTCGGTTAGCGGCTCCATCCCTTGCCCTGGTCAGGGTGCGCGTGGGAAGCAGCCAATAGATGTCTCTCTCCCACTTCAATGTTTCTCTTTCTCCCCTTTCACCCCCTCCTTCCTCCCTTCCACTCTTTCTAAAAATCAATGGAAAAATATCCTTGGGTAAGGATTAACAAAAATAAAATAAAATAAAATAAAATAGAATAATAAAATATAAAATAAAATAAAAATGTCAGGATTCTCCTTCTTGCTTGCTCTGCTTCTAAATCATCCACCTTCTTTGGGGCTCTGTTCATATTGCAACCCCTCCAAAATATTTTCCAGAATCCTGAAATCCTGCCTATCCCACACAGTATCCATGCACCCTCTGATTTTTTACTTGCATATCTAGAATATGGCTGGAATTTGTACATCTGATTTTATAACTGAATTATTTAAAAAAAATGTTTAGTCAGGAAATAATAATTTCTGCTGAAGGATGGAGTGATTACCACAATATTATACAATTAGAATATCAAAAAAAGTGAAAATCTGATCATGCCCTTTCTGATGAAAATCTTTCCATGGTTTCTACTGATATTAGGACAAAATCAAAACTCATTAATATTTTTCACCAGAACCCTCAAATCTTCCAAACCTCCTCCCTCACCACTCCTCTTAAGTTTCGCATACTTGACATGTCATTCCTCACCACTGGACTTTCCTTATGTTGTTCCCTACCTTGACCAGTCCTCTCCTATTCCCAAGCCCTCTTTCCTCTGGCTCAGGAATCAGTTTAAAAGTGAAATATTGGTTTTCACCTATCAAACTGACAAAGGTCAAAAAATCTAAAAATGCATTAAATTGACAATGGTGTGCGGAAATATACCTTCTCACACATTGCTGGCAGTAGTATAAATTGTTACAACTTCCACGGAGCACAGTTTGGCAATATCTACCAAGATAACAACTGCATATGCAGTTTGACCCAGCATTTTTACTTTCTAAACTAGAGATATATTTGTATGCATGAGAAATAATGTATGTAGCATTAGTTGTTATAGCAAAAGACTGGAAACAATCTATGTAAATGTCCACCAAGAGAAAACTGATTATATTCTATAAATATTCTGCAGACATTTAAAAGAAAAAGGCAGTTGCCTATATGCTTAGATATATTTTAATTAACTGGGAAGAAAAAGCCAGAGATAGCAAGCAAAAAAAGAAAAAGCAAGAAATGTGTAGTATGCTACCACTTGTGTTTAAACAATTTTGCAAAACTATATGAGATATATACTTAAATAACCTTGTACTATCTTTAGAAGGATTAAAAAAAACTATTACCAGGAATCATCTCTGGGGAAGGGAGGTGGTTGTTGGTTGAGTGGAAGAAAAGAAAGAAAAACTTACTTCCTACCTTTCTACCTTTTGGATTTTCTACTGGTACATGTATGATAAACAGACAGGCAGATAATAGAAGGATGAATGGATAAATGGACAGAGAGACATTAAAAAAAATTTTTTTTAACTGAGCATACCACACAAATGTATGTGGCCCTCTATACAAATTTTAATCTCCAAGTGCTCTCTTACCTGCTGGTTGGTGCAGGGAAAGAAAAGGAGAGAAGCTGATTCCAGAACGGGTCGTTCTCAGAGACAGATTCTGTGCCGGAGAGCTTTTTTAAGTACTCATTTTTGGGAAGATCACCAAGTCTGCTGCTGTTGGATCCCATCTTCTAATCTGGGAGACAACTTGTCCTTAAACCTTCATTTCCACAAGACAACCTGGAAAAAAATGAAAAGAAATTTCAAACTTATTCAAAACAATCCTCAAACTTTTCCTTCCCCTTGACCTAAATGTAAAAACACTATAAACATACTAAAGGAAATCAGAACCTTTCTTTATTTTTAAATATATGAGACATCAGATACAAAGTTACAAGGAGAAAAATGGAGCTAACCTCTGTCTTAACCAACACAAACACAAAAGTCAGAATCTACACTTGTAGATCTTAGAATGGGCGTACCTCCCGCCCCTAGGCAGCAACAACAGGGTACTATCTGCTGAGCAGAGTGAAGGCAGTGCCCGAGGCAGCTGAATGCCCAAGGAACAAGCGAAGACTAGCCACTGAAGTACCCGTCAGAAAGTTCCACCTGCTCCCCACCCTCACAGAGAGCAGGGCAGAAAACTGAGGTCCACTGGCATCTCTTCTGCCAAGGATCATACCAAGCATCACACACACACACACACACACACACACACACACACACACACACACACGACCTGGACCCAGTTTACTGTATTTGGAACTCCCAAGACTCTTACTTATGAAAACCAGAATAAAATGGAACTTAAAAAACCCTGTATCCAGCCCTGACCAGTCTGGCTCAGTGGCTAGAGCGTCGGCCTGTGGACTGAAGTATCCCAGGTTCGATTCCGGTCAAGGGCATGTACCTTGGTGGCGGGCACATCCCCAGTAGGGGTGTGTGCAGGAGGCAGCTGATGGATGTTTCTCTCTCATGGATGTTTCTAACTCTCTATCCCTCTCCCTTCCTCTCCGTAAAAAATCAATAAAATATATTTTTTTTAAAAAAGAAAAGAAAAAGAAAAACCCTGTATCCAATCAGCTCACCTCCTAAGAGTCCTACTGCTCTTCCCTCCTGCTGTGCCTCAAGGCTTCCTAGGCTCTCAGCTCTTCTTTCTCTCCATTTGTCAGTAACTGAGCCTTTCTTCTCCTGGTTTCACTAGTGGCTTCCATGTTACTCTCAAACCTCTCCTAGTCCCAACCTCTGACCAGAATGCCAGTTCTACCTAGATCCCTAAGATACTGAAGATTTTTTTAAACTCAAGGATAACATATTTTAATTATGTGTGTAACATATAAGCAGTAATTTTGTGGATAACAATGCCCCTCACATAAGTGTATACTAAAAACAAGAAGCATGCTATGGCTTATGCCATTAGAAGTAAACCTTTCAAAGGACCTATTTTTCTAAATTTTTATTTATTGATTTTAGAGAGAGAGGAAGGAAGAGAAGGGAGTAGAGAGAGATGAGAGAAACATCAATTTGTTGTTCCACTTACCTACGTACCCAGTGGTTAACTCTTGCATGTGCCCTGACCAGGGATCGAACCACAACATGAGTGTATATGCTCTAACCAACTGAGCGACCCAGCCAGGGATTCAAAAGACCCTATTTTAATGCAATGTAGTCAAGAACATGTGTGTGCAAAACTGATTCCATCCTCCCTCTCAAAACCAGTTTGCCCTCTCAACTTCCACTACTCCCCTGAAGTTCTCATTATGTAAAAACTACCCTCGAATGTGATTCTTCTGTAGTATATATGACATACCTCCTGAGGTAGATATCCTAGATATGCAAACTGACCCTAACAGCAGAAAGACTGGGAATGACTGGTCACTATGACACACACTGACCACCAGGGGGCAGATGCTCAATGCAGGAGCTGCCCCCTGGTGGTCAGTGCACTCCCACAGGGGGAGCTCTGCTCAGCCACAAGCCAGGCTGATGGCTGCCAGTACAGCGGTGGTGGTAGGAGCCTCTCCCGCCTCCTCAGCAGCACTAAGGATGTCCGACTGCAGCTTAGGCCTGCTCCCTGCTGGCAAGTGGACATCCCCTGAGGGCTCCCGGGCTGCCAGAGTGATGTCTGACTGCCAGCTTAGGCCCAATTCCCCAGGAGTGGGCCTAAACCAGCAGGTGGTCATCCCCCAAGGGGTCCCAGACTGCGAGAGGGCACAGGCCAGGCTGAGGGACCCCCCCCCGCCCCAGTGCACAAATTTTTGTGCACCAGACCTCTAGTTCCTAAATAATAATTTACAGTAAAAAAAAAAACTATTGTTGTTAAATTAAGTGGATTGTACTCTCTTTACCTTCTCTCCTTCAGGAAGGATCTGCATGTGCTCTGGCTTGTGTTTTAACCTCTATGTGAGTGACCCCAGAACTAATGTTTTATTCTAACTTCTCAGTCAAAATCTAAGCAAAAATCTTTACTTAATGGCCATTTCAATTTGATGTCTTAATATCATCATAAATTTTAAAACAGATTTTAACATTGCCCCCCAAAATAAGCAACCCCTCCAAGCCTTTTTGACTCAAATTCTCACTCACATAACCAACCATTCATTCCATAAATACCTATTACACACGTCCTATCAATGCCAGGTGTTATGCTGGAAACTGAACATGTAAAAATGATTAAGACCAAGTTCCTTGCCATTCATGAACCCAAAGCCTATTTAACACATATGGTATGTATCACAGTGGAGTTATTTATACACAAAAAGCTACGAAAACACACAGGAGCATCTGAGACAGCGGGAACAGTATGTGCAATGGTACTTTTACTCGGCCAGCTCTATGTCGGAAACGAGGCTAAGTGCTGTACAATTACTGCTTCATTTCGTCCCTACGAACAACTCCAAGAGGTGGTCATCATGTTCTCATTTTACAGATGAGGAAGCTAAGGTACAGAAGGGTTAAGTAACTTCCCCAAGGCCCCAGAGGTCATAAGTGGCAGAGCCAGGATTTGAACCCAGGTCACCTCATTCCAGAATCCCTGGTCTTTACCACACTATAGGGCAGTGATGGTGAACCTATGACACGCGTGTCAGAGGTGACACACGAACTCATTTTTGGTTGATTTTTCTTTGTTAAATGGCATTTAAATATATGAAATAAATATCAAAAATATAAGGCTTTGTTTTACTATGGTTGCAAATATCAAAAAATTTCTATATGTGACACGGCACCAGAGTTAAGTTAGGGTTTTTCAAAATGCTGACATGCCGAGCTCAAAAGGTTCGCCATCACTGCTATAGGGTGACTCTCCAATGACATCAACAAGTCCTGTGGGTTCTTCTACAACATCCACAGTGCTACATAGCGTCTTTTAAATCCATCTCTTCCTTTATATTCCCACTGCCTCCATGCTAGACCAGGCTTCTATAATCTCACATGACTTAGTGCAACAATATCCAGGTGTCTTTACTTCCAATCTTTCCACTTAGACTGACTGTTCGCACTCCACTACTGCATTAATCCTTAAAAGAAATAGGAAATTCAGTCCAGCATTGCAATAAAGAAAGGTTCTAGTGTGAGCTAGATTCTGTTAAATCTGTATAAGAATCAGTCTGAATCTCCATTTACAACTTATAAAACCTCACTGCATTATGGGAAAAACAACAATACTTACAACTCATAAGATATTATAGGATGAAGCAAGGTGATCCATACAATGTACTCAGCCCTGGCCGGTGTGGCTAAGTCAGCGGTTCTCAACCTGTGGATTGCAACCCCTTTGGGGGTCGAACGACCCTTTCACAGGGGTCGCCTAAGACCATCAGAAAACACATATGTAATTACATATTGTTTCTGTGATTAATCACTATGCTTTAATTATGTTCAATTTGTAACATTGAAATTGGGGGTCACCACAACATGAGGAACTGTTTTAAAGGGTCGCGGCATTAGGAAGGTTGAGAACCACTGGGCTAAGTGATTAGTGTGTCAGCTCATGCACCGAAGGGTCTCGGGTTCAATTCCCAGTCAGGGCACATTGGGTTGTGCCAACGTGAATACAGAAGACAACCTATCAATGCTTCTCTCTCAGACAGATGTTCTCTCTCTCTCTCTCTCTCTCTTCCTTCCTCTAAGCATGTCCTCGGGTAAGGATTAAAAAACAACAACCTGGCACAGTGTATGATTAGCCAAATAAAAAGTGAAATACAATTTATTTTTAATATTAGTAAAATAACCACTTTCATCATTTCACTCAACAGCTCAAAAACATTCAATGATTCTTCAGTTGTCTGACATTCAAGACCCTCCACAGTCTGAAAGATCACTTTCCAACTACCGTCCAAACCAGTGGCTCTCAAACTTAAATGTACATGAAAAACACCTGAGAAGCATGTGGCTAAAAATACAAATGCCTGGGCCTCAAAAAATTCAGAATATCAGGGTAGGACCCAGGCATCTGAATTTTCTAAAAAGCATTCACAGCCCAGCCACGGTGGCTCAGTGGTTGAACGTCAACCTATGAACTATGAGGTCACAGTTCAATTCCCGGTTAAGGCACATGCCAGGGTTGCAGGCTAGATCCCCAGTGTGGGGTGTGCAGGAGGCAGCCAATCAATGATTCTCTCTCATCATTGATGTTTCTATCTCTCTCGCTATCTACCTTCCTCTCTCTGAAATCAATAAAAATATTTTTTTAAAAAAAGAAATGGCACTTGAAATTAAAAATAAGATAAAAAATTCAACAGAAAGGAGGCCAAGGAAATTCCCATAATAAATTTAAAAAAGAAGACAAACAGATGGAAAACAGGAGACTGAAAATTAGAAGACCTGTTTAGAAGGTCTTAACAATTACAGGAGTTCTAAAAGGATAGCACAAACAAAACAGAGGGATGTTCCTGCCAAGTCAGAAACTGTGCAGGGCCTGAGATTTTACCTTACCTTGTGTGAATGCTAATAACAAAGGCAACGAAGACATGAAGCCTCTGGGACACAGACAAAAACAACTCATCACGCACAGCAACAGCGGTAGCCAGAGTAACACCCTGCATTAGTTTCCTGGGGCCCAATCCCCACAGGTCTTTCAAAGCATTTGGTAAAAGTTAGTAATATGTTCATGGAAAAATAAGCAAATGGTGGGGGCAGGTGGGCAGGGAAACAAGGTAAATTACTCAGCTCAGCAGTGAGCAATATTTATGTAGTCAAAATAATGTAAACACTAATTTAACCAAGAATTTTTATATATC